AGTGACCGGAGGTGATACGGCCGATTGAGAAGGGCCTTCTGGTGTGTGGTGAAGAGAAGAATTGTGCTGTTGAGCATTTGCCTGATGTGCAAGTGCGATCGTAGCAGCAAGATCAAGCTCTGCTGGTTGCAATGTGTCTGACCAAACTGGAATCGAACTCTTCCTATCACAGTATATTCAATGCCAATTAGTTCACACCATACGTATAACTTACCAGTCGACTATTACACCATCGTCTCTGCCAGGGATCAGAGTACAAGTCCATCCAACGCAATTCGACATACCTGATGAGCAACTTTTCCGTTTGAAGCTTCAGAGCCTCACTTTCACTTTGACACTTCTTGGCCCATATCCTTCGATTCCGCTTGTACCCAGAGAACGGAGGCAAACAGTCCAAGGGAAAGGGGGCAAAGCGTTTTGTCCCGAACATGACCAACTTCCGTTGTGGAGGCGGAGGCGTCAGACTTTGTTCGCGCTTCACCTTTGCACCATTGTGATGAACATCAGAAGCCCTGCCCGCTGACATAGATTCATTATCATCATGACGGGGGCGCTTCAGTGTCCTGTGAGCTTCGGAAGTTGACATTTCCGATGATGCCCAGGATGGCGTGAATATATTCTTGAAGTTTATTGGACAAGCTCCTTGCCACTGATACTTTGGATGTGGACTAGGAAGACCGCAAGGAAGCGATCAAGTACTGAGAGTCTGAAACCCTGCCCGCATCTGCCACAGTGCTGCTGACCTAATGCACTCTAGCGAGGCCTAGGAACGAAGGATAATTATACTTGAATCATCTACACTGCGTGGAATCGATTAAAACCATAAATTGGATATAAAAATATTAGCATAAGGCGGGACCACATGCACAGCAAAGAATGCCTTTCAACTGCCACTCGTACCGAGATTGTGAGAAACCTGGCATTTACAACACCTGGCAACAGAGAACATCCCTAAAACCGCCCCTCCGGCGCAGAAAGTCCGGCACGCACTACGGCAAGAATGGCGGCAAAGCTGGTGGCTAACAGACCGCACGTCGGACATTGAAATACACTTGGAGGCTCGTTCTACAGAACTTCTACTACTGCTGCTACCAATGACTGCTGCTCACCGGTGCACTACATCAGCAAACTGCCTATTTGGGCTACAAAGCTCCCACAGCCATACGGTGCGCACAGAGCCATACAGTGTATGGTGGTCCAAATGCAACTTAATTAAATCACGTGCACGCACAATTTTCACGCACGCACAGCAGAATCGCGTGCGCACACACAGAAAATCGCGCGCACACTGTATCAAAGTACTAAATAAAAAGGAAAGTGTAGTATAAAGAAGAAATTGCAGTATCAAAAACTTGTGCAAAAGTAGTACTTATCATAAAATGTATCTATTTCCTAGTAAACCAAGGTTATTCTTGGGCTTGAGAAGCATATCAAATGTCGGGACGAAGATGCTTGAGTCTTAGCATGTGCCCTACTAGGCTGTATCCTGTGGTTGACCACAACCCAATTCCTTGCGAGAATTGGCCATTGATGATGCAACATTCATTGCTGAGGAATCCGTCGATATGGACGACACAACTCGGAGGGATGGCTTGATATGTTGTCAAAATTTCCGAAGTCACATGGCCTGTCGAAATCATATGAAAATATTCCCGTGGCCACTGCAGCATCCGTCTTTCTGATGTCATTCTCCTCCGTCATGCTATGAAGTTCCTTCAGCAATTCTGTTTCGACTTTCGCTATCAGTGCTTCTGTCCCAACCTCCGAGTCATCATTGATATCTAGTGTTGCAAACGAGTCTGTAGCGCCAGTCACAACTGGTAGGGTCAAAATTAACATTGTTTTATTGCCAGGGATAGTATTATTGAAAGGCCATGGCATACCTCGGCGTCGCTTTCCCTTGGGTTCTTCTACAAGTCTTGGTGTTATCTTGGAACTCGAACTCATTTGCTGGCCAATAAACTCGATGTCAGGATTGCACATTTCTCCAAACAAAGGTGAATTTCTGCGGGCATGCTTCTTGGGTTCGAAAGTAAGTCTCACTTGTCAAGGTTTCAGGCTGCTCTGTTTGACATATTTTTGTAAACCAAAATTTTTCAGTGAGACAACGCATACTCTTTTCCTTGGTTCTCGACTGTATAGAGGGCACATTCTGTTTGTCCCCATTGTCAGTGTTAATTTCTGAATCATCCTCCGGTGTCATCCAATTCATCCAATACTTCATGTACTGGCTTAGCAAAAATTACCACCTACATCTTACATGCACTAATTATCAGATTTCTACACACCAGCTCACCCTGGCAGCTGTTGTTCACCCTGCTATGGCCAGGATGCACAACTTCATTCGGTTGAGATTCCACAGGTATGCAGTGATTGCCAGGAATCTTCCATTGCAAATGTGAAGGAAACAGAGTGTCTCTTTATGGAAGATGGATTCATGGAGGACAAGCTCGAGGGGTTGGGACTCAGAGCCTAGTTGATGTCTCGCTAGATTAATTTGTTTCCTATTCAGTAGTAGTATTACAATACTGCACAATTAGTACTTATAATATGATAAGGAGCAACTTGCGATTGTCGAAAACAATGGTTGAGTCTCTGCGCGCGATTTTTTTGTGTCTGCATGTGTGAAAATTGTGCATGCACATGATTTAATTAAGTTGCATTTGGACCACCATATACAGTGTGCACAGCGGTGCAGTGCACAGACACCACAGACACTACAGACTCACGGAGACTCACAGAAACCTACAGACTTATATGCAGGTCCTTTTAAAAATTTAATTTAAACTTTGGGTGCTATGGCCATCGTGTGGTTTTTCATTCATAGTGCAATTTCTTACAACAGGTATATAATTGACATCAAAACTAATCTAATGCGCACATGTTTGTGAAGGATTGTGAAGGTAAATACAATTTAAAATGAGACGAAAAAACATCATGATTCAGATACACCTGACCCTACTACTTTGGAACACGGACATTAGTCTAGTATACAAGTGTGAACCAATGACATACCAGGAAGGATGCCAGGTTTCGAATAATGAATTGAGTGCTCTGAACATTTAAAACCATTCCTTACCACCAGAGAGCGCACACGCCCTACATTCATTTCCACTGAAGGTTCAATGATACAGCGAGGCACAAACAATGCTCCTGACTGTATCTATAAATGTTGTAAGGTCGCGCATTGCCTAGTCTGCTATACTTGAGACGACAAGTGCGTTCGACCCTAAAGGGGAAGTGAGTGCAGCAAAGATCTAGTAGTAGGCGCTGAAGGCGCTACTGGTTGGCGAATGCGAAGCGCAGGAATGCGCGCACGTGTATGCAGAAGCAAGAGAGAGTAAGAGTGAGTTTGCTTAAGTGATGATTAGACACTAGACAAGAGGTGAGAGATGCAAGCTGAGAGATGTTATATGCGAGGTGCCAAGGAATAGATTTCAACTATGCTCTGCTAGGTAGTAAATGGGTATTGTTGTGGTTCAGTCCTCTGTCGTCCGTTCCTAATAGTATGTACTGCTGGCACTTATATATGGTGCCTAAGCGCTGTCATGCGGAACTGAAACACTACTGAATAAGGTATGTAAAGATATATGTAAGTAAGGGTCCATGATAAAAATAAAGGTGGAACAATATGCAAATAAGAGAAATGGAAATATACGCACTAGAGAGCTTGGTGGACAGTGGATGGATGCTTCTGGATGGCTGGCGCTATAGGGCGCTCAAGCGTGGGAAAGCACGCGCGCATATACATCGTGAAGCGCTGGAAAGGCATGCGCGCGAGTTGCATGGGAAAGCTGCGCCTTGTATAGGAATAGCTGCAGGTAGCATACAGACTGATGCTACAAGTTCATGCTGTGTACTCCTTGGTGAAAACTGCGATATTGCACAGTGAGAGGCACGAGTCTCTACACCGTGTCACCAAATTGTTTTTTTGCTCTCTTGGCCTTGAGCTGCCAATAATGTGTATGGATCTGAAGCTGGAGGAGGAGCTGATCAGTGAGTTCCCTTTCAATATGTCGAACTTCCAGATCTGCCCATGCCATCTCCAGCAAGTACGTGGCTGCCTCAGCACTCTCAGGATACGCTCCACTAAACAGCTACTAAAAGTCAGCAAATATATGTCTTGAACCCTAAATAAAGGATTCACCTTGTTGAGCATTCCTGGAAGTTCAGAAATGGTTGATGAGTCGCTTGAATACTCGAAGTCTGGTAGAATTGGATGTAATTTTCTCCTACGTCTAGAAGTCTGAGTCGAAGATGAGAGATTGTTTGTGAGGGAATGAGAATTCAGATGGATAGAGGGAGATGGAGAATGTGATTGGTCCGATGAGGACATTGTAGCTATTGTTGAAGTTACTCCGGAAATTGCCGAATATACTCAATACTCCAATCAATACCGCATGTTGAGTAGCATGCGGTGCCCTTCATGTGGAAAGCGCTTTCTGAATGACAAAATTGTTCTATGACATCTAAATCAACCTCACTGCAGGCATTTTTCCATGTTCCTCCACCAAACATCCAAAAAACATTGATTGAGAAGATAGAAATTTCCTCTCATTACTCCTGTCAAAACATTGAAAAAAAGTAATTCATGTTTCAATGATGTTCTGTGTGTAGGACATGATGCAAAAATTAATTATGTTCCTTCAAGGATAATATTGTATTTTCTATCTATTGTCTTTGAAATAACAGCTTAAATTCATGTTGATTTTCTTCTCTGTGTTCTTCAAATATACTATGTTTTTCAAATTTTCTGTGTATATTTGAAAAACACAGAGGAGAAAATTGACATTATTTTATGCTGTTATTTCAAAGACAATAGATAGAAAATACAGTATTATCCTTGAAGGAACATAATCAATTTTTGCATCATGTCCTACACACAGAACATCATTGAAACATGAATTACTTTTTTTCAATGTTTTGACAGGAATAATGAGGGGAAATTTCTATCTTCTCAATCAATGTTTTTTGGATGTTTGGTGGAGGAAAATGGGAAAATGCCTGCAGTGCCTACCTCGCGATGTTTCAGTTGGAATGATAACTTGATTTGCTTCTCAGGACCACCAGTGCAACCCCAAGAACCTCAAGCCTTACTGCCAGAAGACGAAATGAATGACGCATGGATGATGGAAGACCATCCTGGGCCAGAAGATGGGGATACTGGTGTAAAGGCTGATGATGGGGAAGAAGTGGTGGTGTTACAGGCATCTGTAACACCTACAGGAGCCCCAGCTCTGCCTACACCAGCCCCCGCTCTGCTAGACTCCCGACGCAGCGGAACACCGCCTGCACTTAGAAAGACAGCAGTCTGGACCGCTGTGACGCCGCCCCTGGTGCTGTGACACCGCCCCTGGCCTAGTAGGCCTTGTACCTGAACCATGGAGGCTGTGCGCCTCATGGTCACCCTAGATCAGCGCATGTATACCCCATGCCGCTTCATGTAGATCCGGAGTGCCTCTTGGTGCCTCATGTACTTGCGCAGTCGCACTTGGCACTGCATGCTTGATCAGAGGTTAAGCCTCATGTACCTTATCTGACCTCATGTCTTGTTATCATAGATCCTAGATATACTATTGATTACAGACTGAGCTTGAACACTTACATGTAGCACATATAAGTAGACAGATTATTGTACTTAGACTTTACTTTAATCTACTAGGTTCATCCTTGAAACTTGTTCAACTAAGCCTTCCAGCTTAGTTGTCTAGACTGCACTTCTAAGTCGCTCCCTGCTTCTTAGCCGTATCCACTAGCCCTGTATCTCGACGAGCGTTGTCTTACCGAGATCACCGGAGGAACCCTTGATGTTCCGTCAAGCCGAGAACCACCCTTAGCTTCAGTAGGCTCACTTGAGCCGTCGCTAAGAAGACCTATCCTAGTTCGCACACGCCGACTGACGGTCAGCGTAACAGGTGGTTTATGTTGGTGCGGCAAAGACCTGGGGTAGAGGAACTGCGTTCATGAAGCAGTTCAAGTCTGACACTTACACTGAGGAGAGGGTGAGCAATCCATATTTTCCATTCGCTGGAAAACAAGACTGGGAGATGGCAGCATTCCTTCTTTGGTCGGACCTCAGCATGGCAGACATTGACGAGTTCCTCAAGCTTGAATTTGTGAGTCTATTTGTGTTGTGTGTAAGAATGTCTGAACTCAGGTAAAATTAGAACAGAAAACTACTACTTTCATTTCACTCTTCAAGAGAGCTCAGAGGATGCGCTGAAATGCTGCCATCTCCACCTCAATGGAAACATCAAATAGTCCCTACGGAGTTCCTGACGACAAAGACCCTCCAGATATTTTACCAGGATCCAATTGAGTGCCTTCAGTCGCTTCTTAGCCACCCCATGTTGGCCGATAGTTTTGATTTCATCCCATGCAAAGTCTATGCTGAGGCAGAACATGCCGTTCATGTTTACTATGGTTTCATGACTGGTGACCATGCTTGGGAACTTCAGGTATGTTCAACTCTCAACTTCTTCAACAAAGCTAACCAATAATACAGGAAGATTTGCCTGATGGCATGACCCTACTTGGTGTGGTCCTCTCCTCAGACAAGACCAAGGTCAGCAACCTTGCTGGCAACTGCTATGCCCATCCACTCCTCATCACTCTTGCCAATATCGACCCTGATGTACATGCTAAAGGATCCCTCTTGCTCTACTTCCTGTTGCAAAGTTTATCCATAGGGTTAAACACATGCATGGTGTTCTGGAGGACCAGTTGCTTCATCAATGAATTGACATTGTGATTGAACCATTGAAGCAAGCTGCACACCTGGGCATCATGATGAGTGATCCAGCGGGGTTCAGTAGATATTGTTTCACACCCCTTGTTGCGTATGTAGCCAATACTCCAGAGGAGCTCGTCATCGCATGCATAACCATGAATGCATCACCCGTCACTATGGCTACATGTACCAACTTTGGGGATCCAGACTGTCACCCTCTTCGTAAAAGCTCCTCTACGCTTGCTAATATTCAAAAAGTTGTCGCCTTTGTCTTGCCATCTGACCTTGTGGCATTTTTCGAGGAGTGCAAGCAATACCATTTGAATGGTATCCAATGGCCATTCTGGATGGATTGGGTCACCGCGGATCCTTCTTCTTTCCTGACGTCGGAGTCGCTCCATCATTTTCACAAAATGTTCTTTGACCATGACTGTGCCTGGTGTATTGACGTAGTCAGTGCCAAAGAGATTGACTTTCGTTTTTCCTTACTCCAGATGTGTACCAGGTATCATACTTTCAAAGAAGGGATCTCCAATTTGAAGCAGACTTTGGGTCAAGACCATCGCAACATCCAGCATTATATTGTTGGCGTTATCGCTGGTGCTGCTCCCACCCAATTCATAACGGCCATCCAGACCCTTCTTGAATTCAGATATCTTGCCCAAGCTCCACAATTTTCCGATAAAATGCTAATGGAGTTGGATAACTGTCTTCAACTCTTCCACGAACATAAACAGGGCATTGTCGATGCAGGTGCCTGGAGAGGGAAGGATGGCGAGTTTAAATCATGGGTAATTCCCAAATTAGAATTGCTGCAAGGGGTGGTGCCAAGTATCCAGTTGCTTGGCATACTCACGCAGTGGTCTGCAGATCCGACCAAACACGCACATATTGCCATTGTGAAGGTGCCTGCAAGAGCTGGAAACAATCATGACTATGATGCGCAAGTGTGTCGCCACCTTGACTGTCGTGATAAAGTAGATCGCTTTGATCTTGCGCTTCACATATGCGAACAGGAAGAATGTGCTATTGATGATGAAAGCGATGATGAGGACATCGATAGCAGGACGGTCCAATGTTCCATCAAGGACTATTTTTCACGTGCCCATGAACTCATCAATGGCGATCATCCAGAGGCACCCTATCCCTATCGCACGTTCTCAACCTCTGTTGCAGCTTACCATCTTAGCTATAGACCCACCCTCACAAAGATGACTGTTGATACAGTTGCCGACCAGTTCTTGCTTCCTGACCTTTGCCCTGCAATATCCGATTATCTAGACTGTATTGAGGCACACGATGACTTCCCCATTGGCAGCAGGCGCTGAGCTCACCCTAGTTGTCCCCTTCCTTTTGAACGCATCCAAATCTGGTATAAGATGCACATTCAATCAAAAAACTTCCATGATGCAAACCAACTCGAACCCTCGCAGGCAATACTGGCGGAACCACCCTCAAAGAACTGGCCCTATGGTTGGTATGATTCGGTCCTGATCAATATAGACAAAATATCCAAATGGCCAAAGTGCGGTCTTGAAGGTCAGCCACTCCCGCTCCACGCATGATTTTACTGATATGATAGATGTAGGGCATTGTATCGCTCACCTCCATTTGATTTTTTGTCCAATCACACAACTTTCATATGGGAATGCATACTATGCCTACATTGAACATTTGGATGTGGTTGGATTAGATAAATCGACTGGTATGTATGTTCTACAACGTGCCTATTGAGCAAATGGTGATTGGATCGGTGATGTGATTAGAGTCATTCGAATCCAGGCGCCCATCCATCTTATCCCTTGGTTTGGTGATGTAGCAGAGCCACAATTGACTGCGCAGACTAGTATCAATCACTCCACGGAATTTTTCTTAAACAAGTTCTGGAATAAGCAATTATTCTACGTGCTTCACTGTCCTTAATAAATCTAGACAGGGGCTTGTTATCTCAAGATGGGCTGTTCATGTAACTTGGTTTATTAGATTTTTTTTGCATGCCTTTTTTTATTGGGTGTCCATTATTACAAAAGGCAATGGGAGTCTCAGGCACCCCAGCAGTGCACATCCTCACGCCATTTTGCTCGACCTGTGAATCACTGTACGATGGCAGCAATTTTTGGATCTTCCACTGGCAGTTCACCATACTACTACACTCGCGCAAGAAAAGCAGAAGTGAAGACCAAGGAGGATACAAAGATGGCATCTAAACCCTCAACCACCACTGCTTGGTTGAAATATAACTCTACTAGCAAATCAAAAGTGCAGTCTCTTGGTCCAACTTCCAAGCCAGCACTTAGTAACCAGGCAGACATTGTCACAACATCTTGTAGGTGACTAGTTAATTGTTAGCTATCCATGATAATGACAGACTTTGGCTTCAGGCAAACCCAAGGAAGCTGAACATCTCACAACTGAGAGTCTGGTGAATAGTTTGAATAATGTCATTGTCTCGATAGGTCAACTCGATTTATTGTTGAATGAAACCGAATTTCTCACGATGATTGAACAGGCAAATGTGCCGACACAATTATAGATGCACTTCAGCACATACAAGTAGAGCCAATGTGTTTTTCGAATGTTTCTTTTCATGAATTTGTGACCATGCTTGACTCTATCAGCGGGAATGATACACACTTCTTGAAAGCAAAGTTAGTTTATAACATTGTGTGAATCTATGCATACCTAATTGAATGATGCAAGATGACATATTTTCCATGCACCATGGTCCTCATTATATACTCCCCCCACCCGGTTCATGATCAAACAACAAGCGAGATATCATCTGCAATCTCGAGCGAGCCCCATTCCCTCTCGTTTATGCGATCTCTGTTGATGGTTAACGTCATACCTGGTTGTATCTATTCGGAGGATATCTTCACTATCCCCAATATGCAACTCACTTTAACCCCCACCACCTCAGAGGCGGCGGAGACTGAGGTGCTGTGGTACATGGAGACCATATTTTCTCAATCTAAATGTGTCGCCCTCAAGAAGATAGAGAAAGTCCTTGTTACTCACTGCAAAATCATATGCATATTATTCATCCTCATATCTGAGCAAACTCATTATGAAACACCCTCAGAGGATTCCCCTACTTACAGCCAAGCACTCGCTGACAAATCTCTGTGCCCATACACCTCTTTTTCACCACACAGGGATGGAGACAAGTTATTTGATCCCGTTAAAGCGATGGGTCATGACTGGATCAATGTATCTAAGGTCGAGTACTTTGTCTGGCTTAAGGAGGACGACAATGTCATCAATATAAACGATCCTCACATGGCTTATGGAGTGGGTAGCTTATTTGACGTATCCAATAGGTACTGACATCATTTTTTCAGACACTGTTTTAGACACTTGATATGGACTAGATCAACATTGCCTTGAACCAAGGCATGGACTTGGTCAAGTCCGTGATGTGCACCAAATTAGATACCCTACAACCTGCTGTCGACCACGCCAATCTTCTTACACCAAGCATGATTGCATTTGACTGAGACACTAATGTTACCTTCATATCTGTCGCTGTGTACAAGACAGCTCAGCACTGGAAGAATGAGTCCATTATTACCATTCAAGGCCACCCCATTGCTCTACCACTATGATCATGATGAGCAATGGAAGGGTATGAAAAGCAAGTGGACCGACTGGTGGGTGAGTGCCTCTATCACAACTTCCCTTCCTACTTCTGATCCTCCTTCTGGTTGTGCAGGATGTTATTGAATGTTATAGGTGGGGCATCCCAGATTAATTTTGGGTAGACTTTATGGCTGACAATGGTGAGCAGATGAAATTCACTGCCATTGTCCACAAACTCCATGATGAGCACAAGGCAGAACATGCTGCACTGGTGGAGCATGCTCACCAAGAATTTCATGCCGAGTTTGATGACCTTTTTACTTACTAGCGAGGAGGAGAGGAGCATGTGATGATGAAGCCATCTGCCATTGCAAAGAAATACATCAAATTGACAACTGGACTTGTGGTCTGTAACTGATGATAGACAGTAACCAGTCACTAGTAGTAATACCATAGCTTTCTGTAAATAATGACCAATGCTACATGTTCTATTGACTTGGAGGCTCAGAGTAAGCTTGTGTACATGTGTGTTTGTTTGAACACATTGAGGAAAAAAGTGGTCATACTTCAAATAAGGGGCTCTTGCATCATCTCATCATCTCCCACATCAACCATAACCACATCATACACCAGACTTATTCAAACACAAGTAAGGTAGGCCTCATGGATGATGGTACCACCATACTGATAGATCAGAATAGCATCCACAAGCACTACCATGTCAACACTAGTTAAAAACAACAACACTAAAGCTAGAGTGATGGGCGATGGCGATGCGAGTCCAGAGCCCGAACTTATGATGGATGTCAAGATACACGACAGTGACATTAGGCACTTTGCCCAGCTTGGCTTTGCACTGCCAGTCAAGGCTCTCACGAAACAACATGGATTTCATGGAGATGCTATTCAGAATGTTTACATGCAACTGAACGGCTATGCAGAGGCAATAGAAGTCATTAAGGAGATGCGGGATGCTGCAGAGGAGCTGTTATGAACTAGGATAGTTCTTCTTGACACAAGCGCGAATGCGTCTGGTGGGATGTCGAGGGTGTCTTACAAGTTGATCGAAGGTCGACAGGTCTCTCCGTCAATGTCGGTAAGGTCCTTGGACCTCGTTGAGATGAAGGGCTAGCGAGAATACGGCTAAGGCGTGGTGAGCGACTTAGAAGTACAATCAGAGGTTCAAAGAAGCGAGTTGTTTAAACAAGCTGGTTCAAGGTGATAGTAGATTAAAGTAAAGAACTAATACGATAATCTGTCTACTTATATATGTCTGTAAGTAAGGGTTTAAGCTCAGTCTGTATCTAGGGATCTATGCGAGTCCTGGTGAGTCAGAGATAACAGTATATGAGGTCAACCATGAGGATCAGATAAGATACATGAGGCTTAACCTCTAATCAAGCATGAGGTGCCTGGAGGCGCTCCGGATCTACATGAGGCAGCATGAGGCAACATGCACCGGCTAAGTGTCTATGAGGTATACAGCCTCTGGGAATCAGGTACAAGGCCTTCTAGGCCAGGGGCGGTGCCACAGCGGTCCAAACTGCTGTCGTTCTAAGTTCTAGCGGTGTGCCGCCGCGTCGGGAGTCTGGCAGAGCAGGGGCTTCTGTAGATGTTGCAGTAGACTGTAACAGGAGCAAGCTATGGCCACATTACTGAAAAGAAAGGAGGAGGACATCAAGGAAGAGGAGTAAACATTACATGCTATCAAGATAAGTAGTATCTATGTCCCAGCCTGCTACAATATGACATCTTTGAAGTTCTTCCTCCAGCATCTGAGTTCAAAAGAGCCCTTGTCAACACAAACAGACAATCAGTTTAGAAGATGATGTGCACCAAACCATCCTGAGAAAGGCACCTACAGTCTTAGGATCTGGGGCCTGAGTTATGAATATTGCAGTTTAGCACATGTTTCACTCTATGAAACACTCATATCCAGCCTCTAAGGCTAAAAGAATCCTTGTTGACACCTTGTGCAAATAGACAATCGGTCTTCAAAGTTCCTCTAGCATCTGAGGCTGAAAGAGTCCTTGTTGCTAAGCCTAGTGCACTATACAAACAGTGACTGGTAAAAAGCAAGGCAAAAAAAAGGGAAAACAATGTAATATAGTATGGACAGTGAGCAGAGCTCAGCCACAGGAACAGCATCTCCCGCACTGAGAGCACTTCATCATCAGCCATCTGTTAGGGTTCAGGAATTGCTCCTTTGGCTCAGTAGGATTATCATTCAGAGAAATGAGATACTTTACAATTGTCATGTTCATAAATTCCACACTCCATCCTCCCCACTTGTAGATTCTCCAGAGTAACCAACACTTCTTGACATGCAAGAACTAGCACCCCCCCCCTCCAGAATAAATGTGTGTCATATGGAGTAGGGTCAATGTCAACATTGAGGAGGTTATTCTGAAAAAGCTCCAGGAATTGCTCAGAGGACTGATGAGTTAAGTATGAATCATAGTAGGTTGTCAGACAATTGACATACCATGGGACTATTGGCCTCCGTAATTTGGTCACCTGAAGCAATTTTTTGAAAGAGGTAGCCTGACATGACTTTTGACTCCTTCAGCCAGGCAGCAAGTGCTCTCACTGGGCAGAGGTGTGCCTCAGATGATAAAAAGGGCCAGAGGTGAAATAGTTTGATGTCTAGGCAAGTGGGCACATGCATGAGTCAATAGTTCATGGCTAAGAGTAGAGTCACATACTGTCATTTTGATGAGTTTTGTGAAAGGGAAGATATAGTACTATCTGAGTATTATGCACATGAAGATTATGTACCTGTATCTTCAGAACCTCATCAAAATGAAGCATATATATGAATGTCACAGTATAGGCAGCTGACAGAAGCTGCTGTATATGCCCACCACCTCATTGACTCAGGTTATTACCAGAACCACTACGCACATGCTCACCAGGTTGGTAGGCACGAATGGTCCAATTTTTAGGGAGGTGGTTGTAATATATAGTTTTAGCAAGATTTCCTGTCAATTTCGGAGTTAGGGACATCCAAAAGTCACTGAGGTAATAGCTTAGGCACTGTTTGCAACCTCACCCACTTGCACCTATGAAGAAGACAAGGTGAATCATTTGGTCAAAGAGAGAAGAGCATTATTACCTTGCACTTGTGGAACGAGCACATGTAGGATGATACCTCAATGGAAATGGAAGAGTTTATGACTATCAGCCCACCTCCAATATCCGACTCATGCCATGTCAGATTGCCTAGACCACTAAGCCTCCCAAATGCATATGTCATAAACACCTGCATCTTCTGTGCATGGCCATAGGTGCTCCACTTGACATGAGATGGCTTGAGTGTGCTATCAAGGTTGATTGAGTCACACCTGCTGCAGAAACATGTTGACCATTAGCGATTGGTCGTACTGGATGGGACCATACCACTCACGCACTCATGATCCAGGCCATGATCAACTACAGCATATCAGGCCATAACTTTTTGCTGAAAAAATTCTCACTCAGCCCTGAGAGATGGAGGCTTCTGAGAAAGGACACACATGAGTTCATCAGCCTGTCAAGAATGAGTGCCACTCTGCCCATCAACAAGAAAGAAGCTCCCACACCTCTGATATTCGGCATTGGTGCCCTCCATGATGCTCTTTGAGGCCTCCATCAGTATGGACTGCAATGTTGTATCAATCAAGCTAGCGCCAACTGCGTGATGCAACTCCAAAGTAGTGAACATGCTGTTCATGTTGCTCTTGCCTGGTTCAGCAAGCATAGTCTCTTGTTCAGCAGTGAAGTCCTTGGTGATGTTGTCCATTTCAGGACTGACGGTAGCAGGCACAAGCAGGCCATGCAGACCCAGAAAGCTCTGGATAGTGTCAATGACAGTTGCCATTGTCAGTGGTCAATGTCTGAGTTTAAGAGGGCTGAGACCCCTTTGTTGGCAGGCCAATTTGCAAATTGGCGGGTCTCTGATATATAAAATTTAAACAATCAGCATGTGGGACAGCAGAAGGATGTCTCATGGTTCACATAACAGAGCAAAACTCGATAAGAGAGCTGGACTGTCCTATGACTCACATGTGACTGTCTTAGCACCCATGAGGACTGTCTTTTTCACATCTGGAAAGCTCTGCTTTCCCTCATTTCCCCTAGGCTTTGCAGACAGTTCTGACCGTTCACCAGAGGTTCCTTTGGCAGAAAAAGACAATCTCACCTGCATGACATCATGAGCCCACATTCTTCCGAGAACAGTGACTCACCAATAGCCCAATGGCACTCAATTGTCATATGAAAATTGGCGGCACTCTGCAAGTTGTCAGCTCTAGTAAGATTATTTTAAGTTAGGTGTATGGCAAGTAAGATCAAAGTTGTGTTACTTACTGTTGCAATTGGTCACCAAATCACCCCGATCCCACCAGTCCAACGCTCCTGCAGCGGATCCGAACAGAGGTGTCACTTAGAGATCTGCAGAAGGGCCCAAACTTTGGGGGAGCAGAAGAGAGGAATGTTGACGGCACACTTGTGCACCATTATAACATGGGACTCACCCTCCAAGCATTGCTCTCTTTCCTCGAAATCCCAGTATTGATTCTACAACCAACTACACACTCCTTTACTACATTCGTTTGTCAGCAAAACATAATGCCTTCAGTGAGTAACACAAACCACCTATGACTCTCGATTTCCACCCCTTGGCATTCCATGATGTGTGGCATGTCAGTGTTCTGTGCTAGCCTAGGATCCTCTTGGTCCTCTTGTTTCCCCTGCAACCCAATAGAACTGGTTGGGTTGCCAAGGGTTGCCAGAGAGGGCTCTGTGAGTGAGCGAGCAATGGTGGATCAGATCAGAGGAGTGCCTGGGAGTCCTAAACTTGAGCTGATGGCTTGTATGGCATGGCATGGATCCAGGAGGAGATGGGCGGTGTAGGACTTGGAGTCCTTATGGCCTCATAGAGGTCTATTTTCCGATGCATGTGGAATGCTAATCATTACCCAAATCATTCCCTATCATACCCGACTCAATACACACCAAACCCGAAAACATTGGACATCAGACATTGGGTTTCACATCGGCTGATTGGATATCGCGTGCACTTGTCCTACCTATGTCCAGTCTCATTGCGCTAGCCCCACTAGGTGCATAGTTACTTGTTTTCACATCCCTAATATTGTCGACCACATTATTACATGTATTCCCATGGTCCGCAGTACATCATGTCTTATTACATAGGACATAGGATCCGAAATATTGCGCTACTACTTTCGCCTATAGGGTTCCGGATTTCTATGTATCTACATAAATATTGGACTTCCCATAGCATCATCATCATCAGAGTAGAGGAGAATCGTCTCCGACGCTTAGGGGTCAAACCTGATATTTCATAGTTCTTAGTTGACATTGCAAATATCATTGTTCCTTCACCGTCTATATCCGTCATTGTTATTATTGTGCACACTGCTCACTTTCCCGACGCTCGCTATTGAGTTACTATTAGTTTCTGATACACCGAACCTGAACCCAATAACCCAAAACCCAAAAAACATCAGACCTGACACTTTTACATCAGACATCGTAATTATACCTTCGGACATTGTTTCCCGCACTCGGATTATTGACCTCACATCACTCACTGACCCCCAGAACTATTCCCAGACCACAGACCCCTGGGTCTAATGCACTTGTCACCAAGTACAGCAGACTAGGCAGTGCAAGACCACAACATAAAGATATCAGTTTGGAGCCATCTTTGTATAGCCCCACTCTGTGTTGTATACCTACAGTGGGTCATGACCAGTCATGATCAGTCATGCATAACCCAACCATTGTTTTTCCAGATTGAAACCATACTTCTGTGGCAACTAGGCCATATTAAATAACTTACATAACTGAATAAATAATGCTGTAAAGCTCATTGACTGCTATAGGGTTTGGGAGAAAACTCATTGTTTATTAGCTGGGTGCTACTAGATGGTCCCATGAGTCCATGTGTCCCAAGAGTCCACACATTGACTCTAGCACACACAATTCTGCATGGAATCCTTATCCATGATAGATCTGGATTCACCCAAACATAATACACACTGTCATATTTTTTGGTTGAAGAAAATTGAAGTAGATCTTGCATCAGAAAAATGTTAGCTTACTTAATCTTACTTATTTCAACCTTTTTACTCCTGAAAATATTAGATTTGATGCTTTAGTGTTGGACATTATAATTATACCTTTGAACCTTGTTTCCTACCTTTGAAATTTTGACCTCACATCCATCACTGATCCTTAAGACTATTTTAAGACCACAGACTCCTGAGTCAAACATACTTATATATCAGCATAGCAGCATAGGCAGTACAAGACCTCAACTTTCATTCTATCAGTTTGAAGCTTGTTTCATATTGTCCTACTCTGAGTTGAATCTCTGTAATGCATCAAAATCTATGCTACTGCCATCCAGTTCTGAGTTTCTTAATGTCATTTTGATTTTCTTCAAAAGTTTCTGAGTTGATGTTAGTAAGACAGCTATGAGGAAATGCCCAACAGTGAGATTAATAGTATTTTCCATGCATCTGCCATTGGCAAGTTAGATGGTGCTGAATGACACTGAAAATATCATACCTAATATATCCTTCTAAGGTAGATGTCATGCAAATCCAACAGATAAAGCATTACAAATTTGTGATAATACTGAAAAAAATGACAACTAATTAACAACAAAGTTTAAAAAAAATCCCACTCAAATATGTTTCATCTGACTAAGCCATTGATCATTTATCAACTGTTGATATGTTAAAATGTTACCTTGGGTATGTTTCAAAACATACAGAAAGTTGTAAAGAATGTATGAGAAAAGGTAAGAAATGCTAACTAATCTGTTGTGGTATGTTTGACACTGATCTTTGAATCAGATAAGTATTAATTTAAATGGTTAAGTGATAATATAGGGACTTCAAGTCTGAAAAATACTCAAATAAAATCTCAAACTCATCATCTGCAGTACCTTATGTTGTTTTACATGTATTTTGGACCCAAAATATTCCAATACTACTTTTGCCTATAGGTTCCTGGATTTCTACATACCTACATATATATTAGACTCCCTATCACATTATCCATCATCCAAGTATTAGGGAGCCGTTTCCTGATGCTTTGGAGTCAAACTCAATATTTCGTAGTTCTTAGTTGATATTGCGAATATTACCACTCTTTCTATCCAAAATACCTGACATCATTATTCTTATGCAAACCGCTCACTTTCCTAACATTCGCTATTGCTATTCCCTGCAATCCACTGAACCTGAAACCTGAAACCCACTGACCCACTAAATCCAAAAACATCAAACCTGACACTTTGGCATCAGATATTGTAGTTATACTTTTGGACATTGTTTCTTGCATTCAGATTATTGACCACTGATCATATCACTAATATCCTGACTAATTCCAAACAGCAAACTCCTCAGATTGAATGCACTTATCTCACAAGTATAGCAGACTAGGCTGTGCAAGACCACAACATTTTATATTTTGCTAGATACTTACTTCATGTAGTATCCAGCAATTATTGTATTCCTACACTGATGTAAAAGCATTAGGTTTGTTGGGTTCAGAGTGTCAGAAACTAATAATGACATGTTAGTGAGTGTCAGGAAAGTGAGCAGTGTGCATAATAATAACAATGATAGGTGTGGACAATAGTGGGATTCAAAGTAAGATTTTGAATGTTCAAGAAATGCACTGAAAGTGCATTGAAACATATTTTGAAAGAGCCATGAAACTTTTTCAGTGTGATTTTAAGCTTTACTTGATTACATTCAAGGCTCAGTACAAAGTCTAAATCTAAGGTTAGGGTTATACATGATGCCTCAACAATCTGCGCGTTGTAGCACTTGAGCTTGCGCTAGGCTCATATTCAGCTATTTTCCAATGCATGCCAAATGCCCATCGCACACGAATCACTTCCCGATGTTATCCAACACTCACCCGCTCAATCCAACGCTAACCCGCTCAATCCAATGTTTATCCACTAAACCTGACACTAAATCTGACGGACCCGACATTTCCCACACATCGGACCCAATATTTTCCCGCGCACTTGTCCTGTCATATCTATCCCCACTAGGTGCGCAGTTATTCATTTTCACATCGCTAACATTGTAGAACACATTATTACATGTCCACAGTACCACATGTCTTTTTACATAGGACATCGGATCCAAAAATCAGCGCTACCACTTTCGCCTATAGCACTCCAAAATTCTACATAGACACTATATATTTCACATACCTCCTACCTATTACTTTACCTTTCTACCTCCGAGTAGGAGGAGGTCATCCGATATTAGTAGTTCTTAGTTGAATTCTGCAAAATATCATCCTTTCATTATCTGAAACATTCCGAAACATCCAACATTCGCTATCCCTGACATTCACTATATTCCCGACACATTTCCAACACTAACCCAATGCAAACCCGACGAACCCACTAACCCGAAACCTGAAAACATCGGACCCGACGTTTTTGACATCGGACTCGTAATTATACCTTCAGACTTTGTTTCCCGCACTTCGGACTATCTTCATTTTCAAATAACTGATTATTCTAATACCATACAGCAAACCCCTCGGGTCGAACACACTTGTCTTGCAAGTATAGCAGACTAGGCTGTGCATGACCACAACATTTTAATATTGCTGGCTACTTACTTCATGTAGTGCCCAGAAATTGTTGCATCTTTACAGTGTCAAGACCTCTTACATCAGCTAGATGCTGCTTCATTGGAAGTCACAATGGCTCAGATAGAGCACACTAGATGTGAGTTAGATCTTGATGATTCCAGTTTGGGCTCCGATAGTATGATACCAAGTCCCATGATCATATCCCCACTCTCCCCGATCTCACCAAATATATCGGATACTACATCAGACAATTCAACTGACAGTTCAGGTACCGACTTCTGCAATGTCGATCTATACTATCTGCACCTTTTGGGGGATATCACAGCACTTCATGATGAAGTAGAAAGAGCACGAGTCCTCCATCACCCTGACGAGCCCCCCATGTGCGCATCACAGATTCAGCTTTTACCACACTTTGCTGCCCATCGCCCAGATCTTTTTTGCCAGAAACTGTGTGTCTACCCTGACATTTTTGATGACATCCTTGACTGTATCAGTGACAATCCCATCTTTCAAAACAATTCCAATAACCACCAGCTCCCCATTGCCCTGCAACTAGCTATTTTTCTCAATCACATGGGCCACTATGGCAATGCGATATCTAATGAAGACATCTGCCAATGGGCGGGTGTTAGCATTGGATCAGTCACTAATTGTACCAATCGCATCATGACCAATTCATCTTCTTCCTGAGTCTCAATTCTAATGATGCTGCTCATGCCCAAGAGTACGTCTCAAAGATCTGCCCACAATGGTGCAATAGTATCTTCACTACTGACGGCTCTATGATCAATCTCTGTAATAAGCTGGGGCTCTACAGAGAGACATTTTTCAACAGAAAATCCAACTACTCCCTCAATTGCCAGGTAAGTATTTCTCATTTTTTTCTTAAAACATTCAACTAATATATGTCTAGGTAGTGGCAATGCCTCATAATCTTCCTATCATGAATTATTCAATTGGCCATGTTGTTAGCACACACTCTACATGTGTTTTTCAAGACCATGAGATGCTCCTTGGAGACAACCACTGGATCTGGGCCAACAGCGCTTACCCTTTGGAACCATGGTGCATCGTGCCATTCAAGAAGCCGTGCAATGGCGCAATAAGCAGGGTGCAAAAAAAAATTCAACTATAATCTCTCTACAGTATATATACTATTTTTTTTGTTGCATCTATTTACCAATTTTTGGGGTTAGGTCCATGTTTGCATTGAGCATGTCTTTGCGGCTCTCAAAGGCCGTTTGCAATCTCTCCACGAGCTTCAGCATCTGATACAAACTGAGAAACACCTCGAGTATATGTTGTACTGGATCATGTGCTACTTGATTCTACACAACATGGTCATCCAATTTGAGGAAGAGCACCACATATCTACTACTCAATGGGCCACAGGGGAGGATGAGTTTAAAGAGGAACAAGAGGAGGATGCTAGTGAGGACGGAGTTGGTAATATGTCATATGATGGACTACTTGCTTGAAACCCTCAAAAGGAGGCAGGGGTAGGCAAGAACAAGGTACAATGCATAACATTAGTGAAATAGAACATGTAAGATATACTGGGCATATGAAAACAAGACTAGGGAATGCACATGACTTCGAACATGAATACATGCAAACAAGTGAGTCCAATGCAAATGGCAAATGAACAAACACAACAGCTCCAACACGAACAAGTATGACAACAGCTGCAAGTGAGCAAATCAAGTCTCTTTCAATGATGACCCTTCTTTGAGAGTGATCAACTCAATTTCAAGGTGAAGGGCCACCACCTTCTCTGACTGAACTTTGGCCTGAGCTTCGAGAAGACGAAGCTTGGGTGTCTTTGCCTTCTGTGACCGCTGGTGTACTGAAGCAGCTTCACTGCACTCAATTACACCCTGCTCCCATTGGAATTGTATATTGCGCTCATGGCAGAGTGAATTGACCTTGGCAGAGTGAATTGACCTTGGCAATTTTATACTTGGAGGCAGATTCCTTCACAGAGTAGATATAGCTTATGTTGTTGGTGAGAGACCCCGCGTGGTCAAGCACATCTGATGTTCCCAATTGAACATGCCCTGAAAGGCTGCACTTGTGCGCAGTCTTTTTCTGACCAGTTCTGAGCAAGGTCTGCAAGTCTTGTGATACTATGTAGGATGATGAAGCAAATGTCCATGTGGATAAGCTGGGGGTATTCACTGATGAGGATGCCATAGATGTTGACTTTTTGCATGAAGGGAGCCATGATCCATGGCACGAGCAACATGAGACTTGCCAGTAAAGGCTGCTTCATGATGATCATACTGTGAGGTGTGATTTGTTGGCTTAAAGGCATGGGATGGTGAGGGGGACCTTTGGTGTGGGCATTTATTGCTTGGACGCTGAGTGTTATCCTGTTCCTCGTTATTCACCTCCAACTCCAACTCCTCAGCACCGTCATCCCAATTTCTGAGATCATGCTCCTCAAGTGCAGGGTCAAAGTTGTCATATGTAGGGTCATATGGAGGGTTGTGGCCTCCAATAAAGGTAGCAGGGGGCACACCTTTGTCAAGTGAATTGTCGGCATACATATCGTCGAGGTTAGGGTTGGTATTGGAAAAAGTTTGAGAGGCAGTAGGATGAGGGGCATTATTGGATTCAAAATTTGCAGCCCTCTCTTTCCCCTTTGCTTGTGAGCGCACCATGGAATCATTTGTGGTGGTGCTGGAATTTGCAGGATGAGAGGCAACCTGCTTGCCAGTAGGGCGAGAGATCTGTTTGCATTTAGGCTATGTGAGCATATGGAGGGCACTAGCTTGATCTTTTCCAGGAATGGAGGAGAAGGTCTTTGGGGTAAAGGCAGGGTTGTCCTTCCACAGTGCATCAAGGTCTTCAAACCATGGAAAGTCAGATGATACTTGTGCTGCAATTTTTCTACTTGATCAGATAATTTAAATGATTTAAAATAAAACTTGCCTCAAAGATTTACTTTAGAAAGAGGGTTAAGAGGGTTGATGCCAGCACCAGTCATCCCAAAACGATCGGTTGCAGCCTTATACTTCCCCCTGAGACTAAGATTTCATTAGTGAATACACATGTAAGGAGGAAGATGTACATACTATGCAAGACAATTGGCAATGGCTTGTCCGAACTTCAGCTGGTTCACTTCTCCAGCATACTGGGTCCCATATATTGGGTCATTTTCAAATACATGTCTGGCAATTACAAGGTAGATATTGGCTTTACTCTTGCCCAAAGGATGATCAGTGCCGATCACTGTGCTGCGATTTTTTTTGTTATTGGAGCAGAGTATGCGACAGTCGGCTGGATATGCAGCAAGCCAGGATACAAGGATTATAATGCCATCAAAATTGGTGGTGTCCCACCTGATCTTGGCAGGGATAAAGCTGGTGTCATCCCCAGGAGTTGTAGGCCAATCTTCAGGACCTATAGTGTTTTCATTGTCCAGATTGGTTGCAGATTGATGTTGGGAGAGATCTGGATGGTCAATACCTCCTTGTCCTCATCCCCTCCCACAAGTCACAGTAGTACCCCTCACTCTCCCCCTAGCCCTAGTCCTCTTTCTGTCATATGAAGATTCCAAAGGTTGTGGTGGTTGTGGTGGTTGTGGCGGCTGTGGTAGTGGTGGTGGTGGTAGTTTGCTCATATTTAGACCAGCAGATATTTGAGAAAGTTGCTTGAGGCATGCTGAACGCCTTACAGTGAGTGAGTGTATTGAGGGCATCGTGTGCATGTGGCATAAAGTTTTGATTTCAGACTCCGATACCTGCTGCCAGGATTCCAAAAAGTTTACATGTTTGTTTGATGTTTCAGAAAAGTTCCAAGCAAGTTCCAAGACCAGCTTTGAATTCCACTAATGAAGGAATAATGATATTTGCAATATCAACTAAGAACTACAAAATATTGAGTTTGACCCCTAAGTATCAGAGAACAACTCTCCTCTACTCAGATGATGAATGATACTGTGAGTCAGTTCAATATTTATATAGATACATAGAAATCTGGAAAGGTATAGGTAAAAGTAGTAGTGATATTTTTGAGTCTAATGTTTTATATAATAAGACATGAGGTACTGTGAACTATGGGAAAACATGTAATAACAAGGTCTACAATATTAGTGATGTGAAAACAACTAATTATGTGCCTAGTGAGGCTAGCACAATAGGACTGAATATGGGTAGGATAAGTACATGCAATATCTGATAAGCTAATGCAAAAGCCAACATAATGTCTAATAATTTAATAGTTTGATGTTTTTAGGTTTAGTGCATATTAAGTCAGATATGATGAGATGTAATTTAGGCAATGTCTAGCAATTGATATATATCAAAAAATAGACCTCTATGGGGCTACAAGGACTCTAAGTCCTACATCATAACCTATTAATCTGCTAATCTAAAAATATTGGATTTGATGCTTTGACATTAGACATTGTAGTATACCTTTGGATTATTGACCTGCTATCATATCATTAATATTTAGATTACTTCCAAATAGCAAACTCTTCAAGTCAAACACACTTGTCACCAAGTATAGCAGACTAGGTAGTGCAAGACTACAATATATTTATATTTGGCTGACTGTTTACTTTGTATATTGTCCAGTCATTATTGTATTTTTACACTATGTACAATTTATCATGTAAGATTTCCAATGTCATCATACTGTTTCTTCTTGATACACATATTTTTGACTAGTCTCAGTTTTTCTTCTTTTTTGCAGTCTCTTTTATTCTACACCCTAAGACTCAGTTATAATATACTCAAAGGGTCTGTTCCTTCTATGTCCAGTTTTTGTTTTTCATAACTCAATCTTCAAGCTTGAATCACTAGACTTGAGCACTCTTCTCAGATCCTCCCCACTAACTATAAAAATGAAGCTTTCATGGTTCACTAACTTCTCTCTTTGGATATTATCTTTACTAACCTCATTCTTAACAATATTATATTCAGTACAACAACTCAATCAGCATCACTCAAACTTAAAACTTATCTTACTCTCAACCTTTTTCTTTTCACAATATTTCAAGTTTGTTTCCCAGTCTCATCAGAACTAAGTATAGTATTCCTACCAAGCTACTATTCTATGAGTCTTGACTAGTATGATTTCCTTCATGGTATATACACTTATTTCACTGATTCCTCCTAATATTCAACAGCTTCCTTACCTTGTTTAACTTCTGCCATGCACTATCCAGATATTTCATAAATTCTTCTAACTTATGCTTCCTTCATAATAGTATCAAATTTGACCAATACTTTTGTTCTTCTGTTGTGTTGATTAGTTTATGTAGCAGCACTGTATGGTGGTGAGCAATACAATATTGAGTGATTTGTATTGTAGCATTCCAGATTATCTATCTTTCATTTAGTTTGTGATAGTTGGGTTTGATATTTACTTACAATTGCTAAGTCAGTGATGATCAATAGCTAAGGTACCATTATAAGATTAGAGAATAGTAGTAGCTAGTAGTTTGGTATGAGATCAGGTAAGCTTGTTCATAATATGTTACAAATCTACTTACAGATTGTATAGATTGGTCATTTTGACCTTGAATATTGAACTGATTGTTCTGTGCTTGAATGTTTTCATCCATGGACTTGGTATTGATAGTAGTGATCTTTTGGATTATTTTGATAACAGTATTTAAATTCAGAGTTTGGTATACTAGTTTACATGTGTTCTAGTTATTTGCCTTTTTGGAAATGCCAAGTCTAAGTTATGGCTTGGAGTCCAATATTCATTTGGGCTAAAGCCTTAGTCAACTTCAACTTCAAGTTGAACTTGAATATTACCACTGGGACACTTAGAACAGTTTGGCTCTTTCATATTCAACTTTTTTTTTTTCAAATCCCAAAGCTACTAGACCAAAAACCTTTCCCACCAACTATGAAGACAAAGCCTTCATAGTCCAAATTACATGTTTATTCAAGTTTTCATTTCAAGAGCCATTGATATGTATGTTATTCATTATTATACTTTTAAATTTATATTTCACATTCTTCTCTACTACCCAGGCAAATAGATTGATTGTGAGTTATTAGCATAAAGTATGGCAAGTAGTGTCTGATTATTATATTTAAGTTGTTCCTATGTTTTGGTCCATGTTTATGCACTCAAATAATTTTTTACTTTGAAGATTCATATTTTGCCAGTACTGTTCAATTATGGTACTCTAATAGATTACCTAAACATAATGATTACCTTGTTTACAAGGTCACTCACAACTGGTAATTGTGGCTGAAGAATAAAGTTATGCATCCGTGAGAAATAATAGTCATTTTCATGTACAGTGCAGCGCATCCCCATGTTTGGTGCTGCTTTGAAATGTTATTGACAGTGGGTCATCGGCACCACCAGGCAGAATTTAAACTCCGCTCGATGTTTTGAATGGCCATCTCGATCAATCCCACCGCCGCCACTGCATATTCATGGCCTTCCTGACTCTCAGTCTACAGCTTCTCCTGGTCTTCCACCTGAGATGCCACTCCCTTGCGGAAAGGCTCAGCAAACAAAACACCCATATTCTGGGCCAATGTCATCAACCACCAGGTAAGTGCCTGTATAGTTGTCTTTCTCACCGCCTACATGTTCAAGTGTAGGGTTAGGGTTAATCCAAATAAGGAGAGCCGTCCCAGGACGGCCCTAGTTTAGGGTTGGCACTCCAAATGTGGCCACTGGCTCAGTGTCGCAGTTGGCTATACTATTCATACAACGGCCTCCTGGGCATCCCAGGACCCTGCATCACCTCATTTCTCTGTACTTCTCTTATACTTGCGATGTTCGAATTGATATCATTGATTGTACTAATCTTCAGATGCTCGAACTCAATGTCTGCAGATGTCAATTCCCTTTCTTGATTCCTCTTATCATGTGACTGCTTGTTGCACCTCCACGTCTTGATTCTGAGTCCTCTTCATAGTGTCCCGTTCTGTCAATCAAGATGCGCCCATGTTTAGGATTGCAACCCAAATATGCTCCTAAAAAAATTGAGCACCTTCAAGCTACACTTTTATCATCATGCAGCCCACTGTCTTCGAGCTCCTCAAAACTTCAGACGACCAATGCACCTTCATTTTCAGTTCGTCTGCTGTGGCTTTTGTCTGACAAACTTATTGACCATTAATAGAACATCAGTTGTATGGTGGCGATCGAGTCTACATTGTATCAGGCAATGAAATGAATGCTGCTCTTGAATCGGGCGACAGCAACACGGTATACACCGAGTCTCCTTCTGTCATAGCCACAGGTGCCCTGTATGATGATCCAGCTGAATTCAATCGTATGTGGGTTAGTTTGTAAGGTCAATGTTGGTGCTCATGTCAATCCAGGTATCGTTAATCTTATCCAGAATGATCCTGTGACATCAGTGGTCTATGCTGAGTCGCTTGAATTGGCACAATATTTGGTACACTTTGCATTTACTGGTGAAGGAAAGGAGTGTGTGACCGTAGGTGGACTGGATCAGATTACGCCTTTTTTTTGACATAAGATACAGTACAGAATAATCCTGTTTCCTTAGCTAGGATGTCCGTTGTTCTATTATTTGGTATATTCATGTGTGGATTTGAGATGGAACATGTCATGAGTTCCTATAGACTAGTAGTTAGATCATGGTCAGAGGAATCACTCACTCTATATCTCGCAGCATGCCCCTCCTGCCACAAATAAGAACAGCCTATCACCACTGAGGAACTTCGAGGTATGCCTGCATCAGGCACAAGTGAATATCACACAACCTTGTACCATCACCGGTGGTAGCTCCCCTGTTTCTGCTGTTGATTACAATAAGCAGCAAGGATATACTATGTTAAAAGATGAACCAACCAGGCTTAGGTGCTTCTCAGTATCAGAGTGGTTCTCCTACTCAGCTTGTTGAAGGGGCTGAATGGGATCAGTTTTTCAGATGGATAGTCCGATAGTGAAAGTACAAAGTCTGTTGGCTTTTTCTTTTAAAATCAACATGTTGAGTTCAGCAGAGACTTTGGCGCAGAAACGTTGGACTTAGTGCAGTTTTCCTTACATAGGACACACGAACTCGTGAGACTATCAAGTATGCCTGTACCAACAACTTTTGGTCATGACATGGCTGTACCCATATGTAAAAGGCTCGTACCAGCACAATAAACATGAATCAACAACTGATCACCAGAATATTGTTTTTTAATTTTAGAGTCGACGTCTACACAATTGCAAATAGGCAAGAAGTATTACAGCTCCAAATTTCAAAAGGTTGCTCAAATAGGCAATGCCAACAAGAAGCATGGCTCGAATAAATGCAGGAGTTGTGGAGGGTGCAACCCAGAAAAACAAGCTAAACAGTTCAGGAGGTGGGGGACAGTATGCGACCCAGTAAGACTCAAGGATGCACAGTCGTGCAAAGCCCTACGTGAGTGTTTTCTTTATTTTGAAGATGTGTCCAATTTTGTTTTAGATATCCACAGGATTGAGTCATTTCTGAGTGATTTCCTGTATGTTCCCCTGTCTGGCAAAACTGTTTGCGAGACGGTAGCAAAACACCGATACCCTAATACAGCTGCCGAGTTGCAGGCACTTCCTGACACAGGCAAAATACTTCTACCTCTGGATCATCTTGATCCTGCTACCGTTCCTGCTGACATACATCTGTTTATTATATGAGGTTTGAACACCTGATTACCGCAGAGGAACAGCACCGTCTTTGGTTCCAGTGGGACCAGCTGTTAGCTGCAAAGCCTGCGCACCTCCTTAAGTGTGACAAGAATCGCTCGGCATCTGAGGCATGGCACCTTGGTGTCTGGGAGATCACAGGTAAAAAGCCTCGATTGACTTCGGAGACTGCATCTCAAATGCCAGAGGCTATCGAGGCTATAGACGTGTTACTTCGTTTCATCAAGACATACATTGCCCCTAAAATCAGTGGTGTTTTTCAAGAGCACACCCCAGCACAATGGGAAGCGCTCTGTAGGTATGTTTGCTGCATTGTATCTATGGTGACCTGTTCTGATGGACCTTCATAGAGCGCACAATCGCGTACTCAATGAGCTCGGAAGTCAGTTCAATTGGTGTCCCAACCTTGATATGGGTGGAGCATTTTTCACTGTTGCTGCCAAAGAAGCTGGCTCAGGGATCACACATCTCGACTGGAATGACGATCGGGCCATATTTGCTTTCGTATTTGCCGTGGGAGATTGGGAAGGGAATGAATTTTGCGCACTGCAACTGGGTATAAAAATACCCATTCGCCCCGGCCAGGTGCTGGCAGTCCTCGCTCATGTGCTGGCCCACTTCAGCGCACCTGTCACAAAGGGCCGCAGAATTGTCTTTACATGTTTTACAGACAAGTTACTTTTTCATCATAGTGACCCAGCCATTGTGATGTTCTAGTCGATATATCAAATTTTAGGCTCTGGCAGCACCAATCAATAAGCAATCTACAGAGAGGAGGCTTTCCAAAATACAGGGTATCAGATAATTCTAGAGCTACAATTTGATGAAAGATGTATTGATCCCATGTGAAACACCCTCGTGCATGGTATTCCTCAAAGGTGCTGATGAGTGCACCATTATTTGCATTCCAAACGCGTATGGAATGGTCGCCAGAGCCAGACACTATCCCATCACCAACGACAGAGACGGCGTTAACAGCTGCACGATGTGCCCAAAACATGAATTGAGGCTTCAACGACGGGAACCCATATGTTCTGACAGTTTGGTCTTGGAATGCAAACATTCAGTCGATTGACAGATAGAGCCGTAGATAAAGCAAATCTTTGGGACATGTCACAAGCCTTCCACTATCGACATGAACGCAAAGCACATTGTCAAGATGATCTTGCAGCACCTTGACCAGCCTGTCCTTGCCAAGATCCCAAACAATGACATGCCTATCACTCCCTCCACTCACCAGAAACCCAGCCTTACTAGGCTAGCTTGCTAAAGCCTCTTCTCCATCTCCCGATTTCACAAAGTCGGAAGATACACATAAGCTCAAGACACTAGAATCATGCATTTGCGATATGCACCCTGGCAGAAATGATTGTGTAGGAGCACATGAGTCTGATGGAGAAGCTTATAGTCCGGTGCAAGATGCGCACTTCATGGCAAAAGGCCTTGCTGCGATGTGATACGGGATATCTAGGGAATGACACGGGTTACCCGTGGGTGTTGCAAGCATCACCCGCACCCGCACCCGCAGGTATACCCACACCCCCATGGTGGGTGTGGGTCTCATGGTGGGTTGGTGGGTAGTATAGTGGCGGGTGTACATTATTATAGTGGCAGGTATTGATGAGGTTCAGATGGCTCTAAGTGTTGAGGCACAATAGTGCCTGCGTCGACTGTGTGGACATGGATGAGTCCATGCTGCTGCACCGCGAAGACGAAGAAGTACCTGTGCTTATCACACCAGAACCTGTTCTGAAACTGTCTCCTCCATAATAGAAGGAGTGCCAGGCGTATTAGATGCGCTTGGGGGCCTGGTGAGGGAGGAGCGCTGCGCACGAGCATTGTGTCGAGAGCGCTTCTGAATAATATCAGATTTCATACTAATGGGACGAGCAGAGCCATGAAGCTTATAGTAGAGGCCACATCTGCATGTATATAAAAGATTGGTACAAATATAGAAGGAACAACAAATGAGAACTTACGCGTTGCAAATGGTCTTGCCTTCATCGTCCTTCCTCCACAAAGGAGTTGCAGTTGTGTGACAGTTGTAGCACTGCGCGCTGCCTGTAGACACGGAGTTAATATATAACGCCTCCCAAAAGCCCACTTGAAAGGGCATTGGACTTACCTGCACTTGGACTCACACTTGCAATAGCACTTGCAGCTGCAGCTGCTGCACTCACACCAGGACTCACCACCTCCACGACTGGTGTCGCAAAAAAAGAAGAATGCAGTGGCGCTGCAGCCAAGGACACTGGACAGCGTGGACAATGCAGAAGCCAAAGATGACACACCACCACGTCGTCCTTCTCCATGACTAGCATGCACAGACTTTGGATGCGGACGTTTATGCTACCAAAGAGAAGAGAAACGAGACGTCCGCTCAGCAGCTGAAGTGATAGGTATGAGGAGATGTGGTAGACCCTGTGCTTCAATATCGTCGATGTTCATCGGCATGAACACCCAGTCTACTGAGTCGTCCTCCTCCTCTTCGTCATCCATACCTTCACCTTCATCTCTTGCTTCGCGAATCACTGCATCCGTATCCGTAGGATCTGCATCACCAAGTCCATCCCAAGGAGTGGGCACAGCAACGTCCATGCGCCATTCCCAGCCATGTGCATAGCAAAGACAACGCCAAAGTACTTGGTCTGTTGTGAGGGTGTGCCAATGTTTAGAAACAAGAGAGCACGTGAGCAAGGAAGCCGCTGGAAGATACATGAACATGAAAAGAGATAGTTCTGTGGGAAGGGCCTAAAAATAATCGATTTATCAGTCAGGGCTGCTGAACAGAAAACGTCAGACTCACCCCTATGACATTGAACTGCAACAGAGGGGTCATTCTACGCTGCAGACTTGCAAGCACAGAACGAGGAAGACACTCGAGGAGCTTGTGGTAAAGATGCTCATCACGTGATTTTGTGTACAAGTTCGAGTTTATGTCAGCGTAGATGGCCAAATATAAAAATTCAAAATTTGAACATTGTTTGTCATCGTTTTTTGCAAACTCAGTTTTCATTTGATTTCACTTTTGCGGGGGAGAGCCCTGCTATGGCTGGAGGTCTCCGTGCATCCTCTGTGATCCCACAGAAGTCTGTACTACACATCCCTTTTTTTGCTTTTTCCTTCATTTGGTGTCCATTTCATTTCACTTTGGCAGGTGAGAGCTCTGCTATGGCTGGAGGTCTCCGTGCATTCTCTATGATCCCGCTGAATTCTGTACTGTAAATTATCATTCATTTGTTCGCTTTTTCTTTAATATCTTGTACTTTGCTGTGTCTCCAACCCAACCCTCATCACTTCGAACATCCCGCTTCCCACATCCCTACGAACAGCAGTCATCACCACTTAAATTCAACTTCATCTATCCCAACTCTCATTTTGTGTTGCATTCTGTCATCAACCTCTGCTGTGAGATTGATGTAACTATCTCTTCCCTTATCATCCTTCTCGTCATCTGACCCGACTGGCAGTTCCTGGAGGAGTCAGAAACAGTTGTGACCCTTGCTTACCAGCTTGCAAGAAATTTTCCTAGTGACCAAAAGGACATGAACAAAGCTATCTGCGAAAATCTTGCGGTTCTAGACTCCAGCAAGTCTCTTCACTACCAGATGATCGTGTTATTTCACCGCCCTTTCTGCCACCTGCAATCTAGGCTGCACGAGCGTCTGCTTCCAGTATTTGGTGTCGATGCCCTTGATGAATGCCAACCTGAGAATTTTCCGTGATCCACATTTTGCTCACCAGTCACTTGGAAGAGCATACCCCCAAAGCCATTCAAAAAGAAGAAATGTGCATGCTGATGTACGAGATGCCGGTGAACAATTCTGGAGAGGGCATTGCTGGCACCATTTTGTTTTTTTTCACGGAGTTGTGAAATCGTTATCCGAATTCCCTCAGCCTATGGTCCCTTGTGTACCCAAATTGCCAGTCCAGAGCACAATGAGCCCACGAAACCCTCATCGCCTCCGCCTTATAGATCAGGAATCAAGGTTACTGTGTCACCGCAGTCACCCACCAGTGCCACATTATTGTTGAAGATTTCGGGTGAGGGTTCTTCGAGAAGAGAGGGTGTTGGTGCTTTGATGGCAGGTGATCGTGGTTCTTCCTCGATGACAGGTTCTCCTTTCACAATGGGTGCTTCAACAACAAGTAACTGCAATGCCTCTACAACCCTCCTCCCCTTACGACCTGCAGGCGACTGCGATTCTGGAATGTCAATGATGACAGTCACACCCGCTACCATTGTGAGCGTGAGTGGAGCCTTGGCTATCACATTGGCAACAGCTAGTGTTGTTGACTCTGATTCTGTATCTCTGAGTGCTGTTGAGCCTAGAGATGATGCAGTGAGCTGCACAGAAGACGGCCCGACCATTGTGTTGGACTCAGATGGTGCATCCGTGGTGCTAGGCTCAGATGACGCGTCCATCGCACTAGACTCGGATCCTGCATGGCCAGAATTCCCTCTCACCCCCGATCTCAACACAACCCCACATCAACCCACGTGTTGTTCATCCTCAAATTCGAAGGGTACATCTTTCCTGGTGAGGTTAACAAGCGGCCGCGCAATGCATGCAAAATTGCGGATAAAAATACGAAGAACGCCGCAGGTGCCTAGAAACCCGCGCACTTGCGATTGGGATTTCGGCTCTGGCCATTTGCGAATCTTTTCAACTTTGGAGTCTTCTGGGACCCGGCCGTCAAATGTGCATTTATGTCCGACAATAACCACCGATGGCGTGGCTAATACGAATTTCATCGCGGATACCGTTGCGCCGATGTTTTCCAACCATTGAAGGATGTGATTGACTACAATGAGATGTTCCCAAACAAACTGGCATATGGCCACATTCTCGGGTATGGTCTCATAGGTACTGTCGGCATTTTGATAATGCGTCTTGACCAATTTGATCGGCACGTCATCGATAAATGGCGATGTGAACTCGGGGATCTCGTGCTGTAAAATGAAAGCAGTATTGCCCTGATATACTTGGACAGCATTAGCATGACCTTGCGGTAACATGGTCAGCTGATGGGGGCCTAGCGGTGTCCCAAAGATCGTCAAATCGCGCAAGTCAATATGAAGCGCCCGCTGATCGTAACCTGCATATAAATCAAGGATCGTGTAAATTGCGTATCCTGCAAATGCGGTGGCAAGATGTTCTATGAATGGTGGCAGCGATGCGTCGCAAATAGTTACCTCGTTTAGTGGTTGCAAGTCATGAACTAGCCGAAGCGACTGTCCGTCTTTCTTGACGACGCAAACCATCTTGAGCAATACACGGCCGTTGATGGCTTGTACACGCCCGAAGAGATCTTTTCCTTGATAATGCGGATAACCTCACCGACAGTAGCCGGCGGAATTGGGATGTTGCATTGGTTCCATGGCATATGCGGCACTGTAGGTATCTTGTAGGGCGGGAAATATCTTTCATCGAGGCGGCCGTGTTCGGCGGTGCACCAAGCAAATGCGAGCTCATGTATTAGGACAAGCCATCATACTAATTTGAGTTCTTCTGGCCAAAGCCACTTGGCAGGGTCAAGGTCGAGCTTGTCGGCCCTTTCTTGCGTGAAACGGGTTCCTGGGACAAAATCGGGAGGGTGAGTGGGTAAATCTGGCAAGCCAGCGAGCGTGTCTTCGGGCAATTGCCGCACAATTCTATACTCGGCCGGCATAGCCGTCGGTACCATGCGGACTTTCTTTGCGACTGGTTTATATACCAGCACGTGCAAATCACGGTCATAATAATACCACTTATTAAAAGCGGCGATGTTCGCTTTATTAATGGCAGACCTGGTTGATGTTAGTTGTGCATAATGCGCCGATTGAGAAGAGGATGGATGAGAAAAAGACAATAACGGCAGACAATGCGATGATGCGGAAAATGATGCGACATTGCTCCTTAAGAGCGGTAATGCTTTGCCTTCCACGCGCGCATATTGCAGCGCCTCAGGACTTAAACGGACGTGCGGGATATAATCGGAAGTAGAAACATGGTTAATGGAATATAATAACGGCGGGTAGATGTCTCCCCGCGGCAACTGCAGATCATCGATACCTAAAAACCCTTCTCCTTGGCTTTCACCTTTGTGGAGTGCTCAGCACAATGCTCGCCATTGAGGCAATGGTCGCAACACTTGACCCAAGGAATGGTCGGAAGGCGCAACTCTTTGCGAGTGTTCAGATCTGTGATTACAATATCTTGATCCTCGTTAGGGAGATCGTTAGTGCGGCATGATGATAATTTGAAAAACAGGCGGCCGAGCAGAACCTCGAACGTTGTGCGGTTGGTCACTTGTACTTGGAAGTACATGGGACTGCCGCCGAAATCGAGCAGGACGTTTTCGATGACGCCAAGCATAGCGTCGCAGGAAGGATTTACTGATTCCATATTTAGCTTGTGATCAGAGTGCAAGCCGACACCTAATGATTGCCATATCGTGCGCGGCATGACAACGACCTCTGCGCCTTGGTCAAGAATGCAGGTTAAAACTCTACCACCGTACGTGACTGCACGGATGCAACGTAGGGGCGCGAAGTGTTCGGCAACGACCTTGCCATCATTGCTTCGCATGCGGATGCCATCATATGTGCCGAGCCATTCTTCCATTGCTGGGTGTCCCAACAATTCGTTAATGGAGATGGCACCGACAGTTACCTGTTTAGTGGCCGTCATGTCACGGAACTGTTTCCTGATCTCTGGTGACACGACGAATAATTCTTGGACAGGGATGTTGAGGTTAGTATCCAACAGGCGTTCAATGATGCGCTTGTCCGCTTCCTTGTCTTCCAATGTGTGCAAGTACCGATATTGACCAGTTGGAGTTGTGGCGGCGGTGGGCGAGTTGGCGGTGGCTTTTGATGGTTCAGGATGCGATGCAGTGGCCGGTAGTTTTGGTGATTCCTTGCTGGTCGGTGCGATTGGTGATGGTGCGGGGCTGCTTTTGGCGTTTCCGCCGCCTTTCCTTTGCCTTTACCTGACGTAGCTTGGACCTCAGGAGATACCATCTCTTCGGCCGCAGCTATCAGTCTAGACGCCAGACCTGGACATGCACGGGTTTCTCTGCCGACTTCAACACTGTCAAAGCAAACAGTTTTACCCTTGGCGTCGTCTTTGGCGCTGCTGCGCTTCAGATCCCGCCGAGCCATTGCTAGCGCAAGTGCTTGCACTGCGTGTGCTACATCCAGATCATCCTCATCAGATTCGGATTTGGGGTCAGCAATGGTATGATGAATGCGGACGAGTCAATGTCCATGACTGCTTCTACGCTGGGCGACACGCGGTAGAACATACTAGCACTGACACTAGTGCTCGGCAGTGCCTCATTAGCTTGTTGGCTGCTGTGGTATTGGTCTAATCAGTCTTTGAGCGTGCCGTCGCTCTGTCAGCCAGGAATCCAATTGCCGTTGGGGAGTACTAACTTGTTGATCGATAGATCAAACTTACACTTGCCGGTGCTGATATATTGGTCATGTTCGCGACACCGACCCATGAAATGGTCTGATCCGCCACAGAATATGCAGCCGCTGGGGCCGTAGTTGCCGCCGTGCTTTGCGAAATACTCCTGTTTTACCACGACATTGGGTGCGGCTTGTTGTTGTACCGGTGCCGGTGATGGGACTGTTGGTATGTACAGCGATGCTATTACTGGGGCACTCAAAGGTACCGTGCTGGTAACACCAATGCCCGGCAACAAAAATGTTGCGGCCGTGATGACATCGTTAAACGGGTATGGGTCCCGCGGGTGGTGATCTGGAAATTTGATCATTAGCCGGGTAAGCATTTGCGCCTGAATGTCGCTTGGGAAGCCATCTATGAAAATGCGGTCGTGTTCCGCTTTACCTATCCGATCTTTTGCGATGAGCGCCCGCGCGATTTTGAGGAACGCGTGCTGATAATCACCCAGCTCCTTGACCAAGCGCATGGGGATGCTCTTTTGGTTGCGCGCAATGGTCACTAGGTCGTCGACAGTGTACTGCCGATCACCTTCACAACTGGGATACATCGTTTTTACCTCTTTGATGTAGGCGTCATAATCACTACCTTTTGCCTCGGGCATCTCTGCCCATAGTTCACGTTCGCTCGTTGATAGGTAGCGAATGATCCCTTTGATGTGGTCGCCATGTACGAGGCGCGCCTCATTGGCGAGGACCTCATAGTCGTCGATGAATGCTAGGAGGTTTTTGGTCGCGCCATCAAACTTTGGCGCGCCTTCTGTGCCGCGGATTGGCATTCTGAAGGTAGGGGCGGTGGACATTGTGGTTTGCAATGCGGCGGGCAGAGTTTGAGAGATGGGTTGCTGGATGAGGGGTGATGGGCCATGCGAGAAGATAGCGACGGTTGAGTGGATGGAGTTTGGTGCGAGCAGCGCAGTGACTGGATGATGTGGGAGGGTTAGAGAGGAGGCGGCGGTTGCTTCGGTTATCGGGATACTCGGAAATTCTCGGTCTAGATCACTAAGAGATGTTAGCGCGCTCAAGTTATCAATGTTGCGGTTGTTAACGGGTGCCGGTTGTTCAGGCATCACGTAGAATGCGCCTGGTAGGAAGTTCCTAGGGTTATCTAGCACTTCGAAGTCATTGGACGATTCGCCTTGTACAGAATCCTTTGGTGAAGGCGTGACTGGCAAAGCGGGCGCGCAGTTGCGTGCTACAAATAAGTCCAGGTTGGGGCAGGTCAGTTCTGAAACGCTGTGTGGGCAGCGCTTGCTTTGTGACGTGAAGAGTTCTTTGATAGGCGTTAGTTGCGTGTGTGGGAAAGCGCGGTTAAAACTGTCAATTGCTTCTTGACTCGTGGTGCGATCCTTCGTAGGTCTCAGTTTCCTACTAGTCTTCTCAGATGATCCCCTCGTGGTGGGCTCCAGTTGTGTGCAAGGAATGATAGCTAGATGAGAAGGGGTGAAATGGGTAGAAAGGTGGAAGTGGGGTAAAAACTCAAATAGACCTCTGGATGCGAGTATAGATTTGGCCCGAGGGGATTGCTACTGAGAATGATTCCTCTAAGTAAAAGTGTGAGGGGAAACGTAGAAACTAATAAGGGTGACTGAGACTACAAGGAAAACGTGAAAGCTGAAAGCCGAAGCCGACGCGACGTGAGCACGAGTGAGCCGCCAAAAATGCGATGCGATATACGCGTAGACGAAGCGCCAATAAGACGCGATAAAATGCGATGTGATACAAGCACAAGCGGCCGTGATGTGACAAAACACGAAAGCACACAGTTTAGCTGAAGGTGAGCTGTAAAGAGGTACTGAAGGCACGAGGGCGGAACCGAGCGATGATGAGCACCGAGAGCGTTGGATATTATAGATACGTGAATGCAAGACAATTGCTGCCGATAGAAGTGCGTGCACAAGAGAGTACCGAAGATTTTAGACTTTTAGTTCAAGGCTTATAGCTTTGCGTGTAAACGGGTGATAAATTCTGATGGGAGAGAGAAGTTTTTTGAAAATTCTAAGTATCTGATATATATATGTGCGCCTAAGCGATAATCGGAGCTGAGTAGGTAGCGAGATGTATGTAAGTAGGGTCCATGACACATTCAATGAAAATATAAATGGAATAGCTTGGGAATTGTTGTTAGTCTAGTGGGAATCAAGTAATATATGCACCAATGAACCAGTGGAGGATATGGATAGGATGGATGGAGGACGTGCGACGGATCCGAAGAGAAGCCGACATTAGCCAAAGTGTGCGCGAGAGCCGCAGCCGTCGGCCGACGATATAAGACATGCGCGCTATACCAATGGTAGCGCATACTGCAATTAGAACCAGAGGGACAACACAAAAAGGCCTATACGAGGCCGCAAAGACCATAGGTCTTACACCGTAGTTCAGAACATGTTACATGGTAAGCTTGCTGGGCTACCGCAAGGGCCTAGATACATAAGAGCATATATCAGATGATGTTGTAGACTAATAAGAATGATATAAGTGTCGTGCCTGCCTTTCGAACATCATGCATTTGTGCATCTGGCCCAGGGACAGCCAGGACCATCCTTACTTCATCCAAGTCACTTCCAGATACTTCACCATCAGATCCATCAGTATCAGAATCAGAATCATCCGAGACGGTGTTAATCTCAGCCTCGAAATCTTCCCCAGCATCCATGTTGCGCAGCATGACAGTGTCTCTAAAACTGAGTGAGAGTGCTAGACATCCAGTGAGTTAATGGGACACGAGGATGAAATACCAACTGCCCACTTTATATAACATGCTCTGGGGTGATGTGCCAATGGACTTGGTTCCAGAACAAAGTATTATGTCAAAATAGAACATGACTTCGGGACAGCCTTGACACAAGCAAGCTTGAAGGTGGAGTCTGTCCTGCGAGGACCGACTCTAGCAGTGTACGGTTAAACAAGTGCGAATTCGAAGGGCCCAAGATTTGAAATATGACATCTGAACATAAAAATTAGCTGGACGAAGGCTGTTTTCTCAGCAGTCAGTTGTATGAGTGTGTTATCAAACCATGGCCACCCATGAAATTTGGGGTTGCACTGAAGGTGGTCGCTATTTTGCCTCCAGTCCACAGCTGACTCATAGTTCACCTTGAGATAGCAGTGCTCATGAATCTGTATACCATGTTAGTATGATGCATTAGACAACTTGTACAGGATATTATTAGCATACCTTGAAATCACCTGGAAATGTAAGCCAACTCATCAGTTGATGGCCATAGGTAGGCAGAGCATTGTTGATGAATTCACTAAATTTCCGACGAAAAGATTGAAATGCACAATCCATTTGACCACGACTCTCAACATCAAGGATGTTCAAGTGTGGCACTGGCGAGCCAAGTTTCACATGGCCATTAAAGGCTACAGGAATATTAATGTCTTTGTCAGGCCCATCATCACCAAGTGCCTGCAACCGGCAGTGTTCGTCAAGCATGTTGACATGTTCTCTCAGAAGTTTCAAGGCGAATTTGTCGTGATCAATATGAAGTATCTATCAATACAATTGTGTATGATGTGAATCAGTCTGAGTACTAACAACAAATGTATCTTGTAAACTTACTTGTGTCGCGATATCCTTTCCATTCGTTCGATGGTGATAGGTGTCTTTGAGGGGGCCATTGTTAAGAATGTGCTCAAAGGTTCGGATCCAAAGGGCTCGGCTTCAGCTTGTATGCTGCGCCCCTTACCTGAGTACATGCCCTTAACTTCCAAAGGCTATAGGATGATGTCCAATGCACAGGAGTTCCAGCAGATGTTCAGAAACAAGATATAAGACTAATCCAGATGAAGTCCGAACTAGAAAGAAACAGTGGAGGACTACTGGAGGTAGAGGTGGAGATGTTCAAGTCAATAGGAATCAATCCTAAGACTATCGGAAGATGACGAGAGGAGAAACTCAAGTCAGACAGAGGCAGGAATGAGCAGAATCTAATATGATATTTGAACTGAGGATGTACAGAGGTTTTACAGAGTTTATATACTACAGAAACATAACGGAAGGTCAGTCAGCGTGGTGCAAGGCTATGTACGAAGCATGTGGAAAGCTTATCAATAGTATAATGGAACATAATAGAATGCAGTCGGAAATAAAACAAGGTCCGGATGAACCAGTGCAGTTGGATATGTAAATAACCAGAAGACCGGTAAGAGGGACTAACCAAAATGGGAACGTACGAAAGGAGAAGGAAGCAGAAGTAAGAAGTGGGTTGGATCCAGACATCCAGAAATGAGTGCATGATCGGTCCAGGTCCGGAATGCAAGATATGACAGCCATGAAGCTTCTTGTTTGGACGTGTGCTGTAGTTACGTGCTACTCCTTTAAGTCAGATATCATGAACAACATGTTTCCATAGGTGGGTCTTCGGAAAGTTACAGTCAAGCTTCAATTTCTCAACCTCTGACTCTTCAGTGCATGTAACATAAGCCTAAGAATGAATGTGTCGTGTAAATGAGTATAATTAGCTATGTAGACAACAAGTAAAGACTAAACCTTGAGCTCAGCATCGAAAACTAAAAGCTCAGCATTGATCGCTGCAAGCATGTGCTCAGTATGCAAATCCAGACCGATCCAGCTATCCAGCTGGAGATAACTGCTGATAACACGAAGCAGCTGGTGGCCTACAGGACTGGCTCTGTGCGTCAGGATGTTCAAAGCCAGATATAATGTTTGCTTCAAGATAATGAGTGATATGAAAGATCACAAAACAAGCCAAAAAAATGTACCTTAGAGAGGTCCTGGTATTTGTTGCTGTCAGTGAATGTAATATTGATGATGGATTCAAAATGATTGAGGTGGTGCCATCGGGGGAAGTTAGCGATCCTGTAACTGTGAGAACAGGATAGGTGTGAATACAATCAACAACTTATGACTTCTCGAATGCTTCTTGAGCATCATGTCTGAGTGACGCTGTGGAAACAACTATCTTGCTGGGTGGCAAGAAAAGGTTGGGTCAAGCTAATGCCTAGCTGCTATGTCTAAACAGATGTGTTTGACCCTAAAGGGAGTTGCTACTAGAACGATGATGGATGTGTGCGACCCGAGAGCGTGCTAAGCGTGGGAAAATAGCGGACAAAGGTATGCGCGAGGTGCGGGAATGTATCCGAGGCTCTCCGAAGCGCGGGAACGCGCGGCCGAAGGTGTGGAAAGTGCGGGAAAGTGCGGACAAGGTATAAAGAAATCGAGGAACGAGGTTCAGAGAGAGTGAGGGCAAAGGTATATTGCGAGGTAAGGAAAGACTAGGTATAGAGAGGTATAGGGACCTAATAGGGGCTAAAAAGTGCACACTACAAGGGACTACTTCGAAGGTAAACCTATAGAGAGAGGCATACAGTACGAGGGAAGTGTAGTAGTTAGTCCTAAGTAATAGTCAACTTATACTGTCTAGACTCTCACTCAGAGAAGGAAGGGATAGGAAATATAGTAAATATGTAAGGACATGTAATAAGGCTGCAACACATTTTACAAGCCTCGAGGTAAGGAAATTCACATACCAATGGGGGTTTGGATGGACTATGGATGGACGAGGGACTTTCCTAATGCATTTCCGAGGTATCTGAAGCGCGGGAATGCGCGTCCGATGCAGCCTATGCACGGGAAAGTGCGGATAAGCGGATGCGCAAAGCACGGGAAAAGCTGGTTCGGTTTCGGACAAGGTTATCTGCAGGATAATGAATGTGCAAGGACAGGAAACTCATGGTGTTCTATGCTCCTTGACACAAGTATCAAAATGGCCTGTTTGCTGCCCAGCGCGGGTCCGAGTGCCACAACACAAGGATTTTCTTCAATTCTTCATGTAGGTGCTTCCACAGACCAGCATGCAATGAATGCAGCCGATCTGAACTAAGTGCATCATGGGGACTCAAATGCAAGATGAGCCAAAAAACATTCTAAGCTTCATATTAGCAAGGAATGAGTTTGAAACAACACAAGTGCATACTGCAACAGGTTGTAATCCGAGCACTTTGAGTATCTGCTCGCCTTCAGCTTTACTGTGCCCATAAATATGGAGAGCTTCTTGTGCTTCTTCCATGGTTCTGATTGGGTAGCTCTTTGACAGGTCATGGAGCTCTGCTAATGGTACTAGGCACACGGGGCAAGGGCATTTGCCACTGCAGCCACATATCAGTGACATCATGCATCTGTTGAATGAAACGGGTTAGTATTAATATAAGACCAATAAGAAAAGAGCAAAAGGCTACAAGCATGTTTACCCTTGGAGGCACCAGCAGTGATGAGATGGAAAATGAACTCACTGTTCTTTGTAGTCAGCCAAAAGAATCAGTATCACAGGAAACAGCCATCACAGAATGCCATTATAGCCCTTGTGTGAATATCCAGTCTTTGAGTGCTGGGCGACATGTTCCAGGAGCTTGAAAAATGATTCATGCCACACAATGCACTTCAATGTTGTGTATCCAAGTTTTCCTTCTTTGGCTGCATCATCAGGAACCTACAACATGTAAATTCAACAATCTGACATATATTGAGAATGAAACAACTAACAATAGGCAACCATCCGACTACACAACCACCACCAAACCCCTCGCCATTATGAATGTCTACAGGTAAGTTTGCACATCGGACTACAACTGGATACCCTTTGATGGTACCATGAGACGACAGCTTCAACTTATCAGCGTAGAGAATGAAACAGAATGGGACAGTGTTTTCAATGTCAGGTGGAAGAGAAGACTATTGGTTTGACATTTATATACATTTACACATGATATGACACAATTATTGTAATGTACTTGAATATCCCACCACCAATCTCCTGTCCAAGGTTCATTGAAAAAGCACTTGAAATCTGTACTGTTGTGCTTGTAAACACAGCAGGCATCCCACATGAAATGCAGTGTGAGCAGGGGGTTGTCCAGTAGATCGAGGGCCCAATCCCATACAGGCTGTGCGTGAACTTCATATTCTTGCTCATTCCTCTTGTATGTCACAGGGACTTCATGCTTTGAAAACTAATGGCAGATCGCCTAAGGCATTGAGCAATATGATCATGTAAGTAGATTCAGTCAGACACACCAGTGTCAATTCAGCCGCAGCATTGTCCCATGCCCTTGAAAGATCTGTCTCATTCTTCAGAGTGATTTGAGCTTGACCTTGAGTGATGCACGAAATGAGTTCAAGGAGGGCATTTATTTGAGACTTATTTAGCACAGCATCAAGCATGATCTCAGAAAATTTGAAGTCCCCACATGACCTGAAAGGACGCCATGGTTCCTCATCAACAGGTGCGTGCTGCATCTCCTGAGTGATACCAAATTTGTTGAACATCTGGTAGAGAGTTGCACAAGCAGAGCGAGGGTGATACTCCATTTTGAATTTGCTGGGCAATTGCACAGATGCCACATGAGACTGGACAGCTGTAGGGTTGCTAGCCATGCTTGCATTAGATAGTACTGAGCGGAAACAAATGGGTCAGCAAGATGTAGTAGATTCTAGGTTAACACTTACCAGGGCTAGTTGGATTCCCATGTTCTTCCTTGAGCTCAGGCAATTGGTGATCATTCAGGTCTAGAAGATAGGACAGTTTGAATATAAAATATAATATTGCAATGTGATTCAGACTTACTTTGGCTATAGTCAAAGTCCTGGAGATCGTTGATGGGGGCACGGTTGGCTTGAATGATATTTGATGGGCCAGCCTCACTGGTTGCAGCCTTTCGTGCTGGAATGCAAAAGATTAATTAATCACATATTACAGTGACCTATCTCCGTATAATACGAGGGAACGGACGTGCATAATATCCGGTATGATACGGGCCAGCGGACCATGGGCCCATGATAAAAATATCCTCGACTATGACGGATGGGCCAGGAGGCAAATTATTCCCGATGGAGGCGGGTGGGCCCATGCAGGGAATATATAGAGTAGATGAGTGGGCCAATGTACATGAATATCAGGTAGACGGGTGGGCCGAGGTAGTTGGATATTATGCAGATGGGTGTATTAAGGTAGATGTGTATGAGATAGATGGGTAGGTACTTGTTATCACATTCACGGGTGGGCCCAGACACATATTAAATTAGACGGGTGGGCCGAGGGTATTATAAAATATTGTATTAGACGGGTGGGCTGAGGGTGTTGTATGGGATGTTGTATTAGACGGGTGGGCTGAGGGTGGTATAAAATATAGATGGGTGGGCCCATGTGTATCATAATTGTAGACATGATGGAGCTGAGGTAGTTGTACATCAACCAAATCAGAGGAGGTAATAAATCAAAGTTACCAAGTTCCTGGAGCAGCAGGTGATCTCCTGACATGGCCTTTGATGGTGCACAGGTTGTCTTGCAGAATTTGGAATCCGGGGTGCAAAGCTTGTGTTGCCCTATGAGATGCCAAGTTCCAACCACCCAAATTTGGGTCAACCATACCGACTTCCGAGTTCCAGGACCCAGGAGTTGACAATTGAATATCTGATAACCAGCACACTTCCAATCAGGTAGTATTTCATTGAGCAATGGATCATCCAAGGGGTCCCTTATTGGACTCGGTAGTCAATATAGGCAAATGATAATGAAAACATGAAAGTTGTTATTATGCTATTTTTCAAACCCGAGACCCTGAAACCCATTGTTCAACATGTCCATTTTTCACTCACTGCACAAATCACCGAGTTTCAAGTGCTGAAACCCAAAACTCGAAACCCAGTGTGCAACACGTTGATTGTTCATTTACATTACACAAGTCATCGAGTTCCGAGTTCCGAGAGCCAAAATCTGAACCCCGAACCCCGAAAATATGTGCGCAACATGTCCATTTTTCACTCACTGCACAAATCACCGAGTTTCGAGTGCCAAAGCATGAAACTTGAAACCCAGTGTGCAACATGTTGATTTTTCATTTATATCACACAAATAACCAAGTGCCAAGTGCCAAGTGCTGAAGCCCGAAGCCTGAGACCTGAAAATATGTATGCAACATTTCCATTTTTCACTTGTTGCACAAATCACCGAGTTTCAAGTGCCGAAACCTGAAACTCAAAACCGGGTGTGCAACATGTCCATTGTTCAATTATATTACACAAGTCATCGAGTTCCGAGTTCCGAGGGCCGAAACCCGAACCCTGAACCCCGAAAATATGTGCACAACATGTCCATTTTTCACTCACTGCACAAATCACCAAGTTTCGAGTGCCAAAACCAGAAACTCAATCCCCAGTGTGCAACATGTCCATTTTTCATTTACATTACACGGATCATCGAGTTCCGAGTGCCGAGGGCCAAGACCCAAACCCCGAAAATATGTACACAACATGTCCATTTTTCACTCATTGCACAAATCACCGAGTTTTGAGTGCCAAAACCCGAAACTCAAAACCCGGCGTGCAACATGTCCATTTTTCATTTACATTACACAGATCATCGACTTCCGAGTGCCAAGGGCCGAGACCCGAACCCCGAACCCCGAAAATATGTGCGCAACATGTCCATTTTTCACCCATTGCACAAATCACCGAGTTTTGAGTGCCAAAACCTGAAACTCGAAACCTGGCATGCAACATGTCCATTTTTCATTTATATTACACAAATCATTGAGTTCCGCAGAATATTTCGATCCTAGGATATCCGACCGACCGACCCTTTCCAACATCCGCCCCAGATATGACTCAGCGTGTCAGCCACCATCATCTACAAACAAACAACACCAAGCACGCCACCTTGAACTTTACATCACCCTTTCCCCGCCCCCCGCCCTTTGTGTCTCTTTCCCCGCCCTCGCCGGCACCCTCTGTGTCATGGTCAATGTTGAAGATGAGCCAGTAGGGAGCTGATGCGCTGATGATGCAGTAACTGCAGCACCTCAAGGCCTCAAGGGCTGATGGTATTGGCGTAGTCATTGAGTGCGGTGCAGGGAGGTAAGCATGTGGCGGCGCTGTTGAGTAGCGGCTTGGCCAAATGTAGTAATATCCCCGACGTGCGCAGAGGTGAGGACGTGTGGGAAACAGTGAGCTTAATACATAATTATATTTTAACATTGAATGTAGTATATTATGTATGCGTGGGAACGATGATTATTATACTGGCGCAGATGCGGTCGGACAGTCGGATGAGGTCGAACGGTCGGATATCCCAGGATCGAGATGTCCTCGAGTTCCAAGTGCCAGGGGCCGAGACCCGAAGCCCGAGACCTGAAAATATGTATGCAACATTTCCATTTTTCACTTGTTGCACAAATCACCGAGTTTCAAGTGCCGAAACCTGAAACTCAAAACCGGGTATGCAACATGTCCATTGTTCAATTATATTACACAGATCATCGAGTTCCAAGTGCCGAGGGCCGAAACCCAAACCCCGAACCCCGAAAATATGTGCACAACATGTCCATTTTTCACTCACTGCACAAATCACCAAGTTTCGAGTGCCAAAACCAGAAACTCAATCCCCAGTGTGCAACATGTCCATTTTTCATTTACATTACACGGATCATCAAGTTCCGAGTGCCGAGGGCCGAGACCCGAAGCCTGAAACCCAAAATCATGTACACAGCATGTCCATTTTTCACTTGTTGCCCAAATCACCAAGTGTCGAGTGTCGAAACCTGAAACCCAGTACTTCACATGGACACAAATTGTATTTGTATGTATTATCCATTGGTGTAGGGTTCAAATAACTTGGTAATTGTATTTGTCAGTACTTGGTACTTGGTACTCAGTGATCGGTGGTCAGTGGTCGGTACTCGAGACTCGGTAGTCAATATAGGCAAATGATAATGAAAAATGACAGTTGTAGTCCACGTCAAGGTGAGTGTCTTGGTAGTCTTTCTTTGTCATTCGGCAAAACATCAGCAATAATGAAATAATGAAAGTTGTTATTATGCTTAACTTCCTTACCAAAGGTTGTAGTCCAAGTCCAGGTGAGTGTAGTGGTAGTCTTTTCTTGTCAATTGGTTATCTTGCTACTCATTATGCAGTACTCGGTACATGGTAATTGGTACTCAGTATTTGGTTTTGATACTCAGTACCCGGGAATCAGTAGTCAGCTTAATGAAGGTTGTAGTCCGAGTCTAGGTGAGTTTATTTGTAGTCTTTTCTCATCCATTGGTTACCATGTGACCGAGATATAAGCTAAAGAAATACGAAACATCAATAATGACAAATGAAATACATGTGTGCAGTAAGTGAGTGTAAAGATAAAAGAATGAATATTAATAGCGAGACTTGCACATTATGTCGAGATATCCAACATAACAAGCCTGTGATGTGATGAGAGACCTGGAATAACACCCATATACATCCATTATAATAGCTTAAAAGCCTAGAAAGATTCATGAAGGATTGATGTAATGATAGGCAAAATGACATATGTGTGGAGAGTGACAATAGACATCTTTTATACAAAGTCACATTTATATATGATTCAGGCCGAAAATATCATTACAAATATGTAGGATAGATCGTAAACTACCCAAGGAACCCATACTGCCTACTGCCCTGAGGGTAGGGGGTGGGTAGAAGGGATATAGTGAAAATATGAGTTGACCCAGCATTGAAGTCCTACCACTGCTCAACTAACCATTTTCGATGCTTTGGGTCTTTGAAGTTTCCCACACTCAATTTCTTACCCATTTCACTTCCTCAGTACTCAATTCTTGGTTGATTTGTCTGTAAATTTATGTCTATGATACTTAAGATATTTGAAATGTACCCCAGGTTTCTGATTACGAAGATTCAATGTTTTGAAGGCATGGGCCCCTTATCAGGCAAAATGGCAAGTATACACACTAGCTCACAAACTCCAGCCTATTGTGAGCTGATCTTGGTCATAAGAAGCAAGAATATAAGCTATGCTCATTATATATTAAAAGGTTGGATCATGGATGCAAGGGCAAGATACTGAAAATCATGAAAAAATGTCAAAAGTGCAATTGTCTATGCTTTGTTCCTGGAGAAGGATCCTGTGTGTCCTGGGCTGGTTATATGATATATCTACTCCGAATATGCTCAGGAATAGACTCCCTACAGTCCTTGAGGTCCAGTCCTACAGTAAAAAAAACCCCAGCGGGTGAACCACCAGAAGAGGGGGAGGTACACTATACAATAAAGGATTACCCTATGGTCCTGAGCTCCTGATACATTGTTTCTATTGTTGAATAGATGATTGAGATATAATTTCAAAGTCTATTCACCTAGAAATGAACACATAGGAACATATTTTGTATTTTTATGTATATATGCAATATCCATTTAAGCACCAAGTCTCAACTACTGATTACCAAGTCCCGACACTTGATAGTTGATAGTCAGTATTCGAGCTCCGAGTGCCAATATTGCCTACCAATATCTCAGTCAAATGATAACCAAACCAAGACCCA